TCTCATTCCCACCGCTTCACACAGATGATCTGATGATAATCAGCCGTGGCAAATAGAAAGTACAGCCTCTGTCAGTTTTAAGGTTTTATGTATGAGAAAATAATAAAAATCATCTGCTTCTTAACAAGGCTTAGATAAATAAAATGACATATTACACTGTTTTTAACCAAAACTAAGCCAAAAAACTAAGGACACCATTACTGCTTCTATTGGAAGTAGCAGCCAGGTACTGCTAATCAAATGCACTGGATTAACTGATCATCATTTTGGAAGTTTGCTGGTCTGAGGTGTTAGGTGTGTATTAACACAATGCCGAGGATGAATGACAGGATCTGAGAGTGAGATGAGACGTAACTGTTGACTGACTTTCCATCAGTCCGGGAAGGACTATAAGGTAATTTCCACACACTGTGAAGTCCACTCTGCACTGACATATTATCTACAAGTAGAAAACATTTAAGACAGCTGCCAGTCTGTCCAGGAGTGGACGTCCCAGCAAATTCACCCGAAGGTCATATTGTGCAATTCTCAGAAACAGCAATAAGCCCAGGAGCTCCATCTCAGACTACACGGGCCTCAGTTAGCAAGTTAAATGTTAAAGTTCCTGACGGTACGGCTTTTTTGAGAGTGTTGCCAGAAGGAAGACTCTTCTCTCCATCTGCAAAAGAAAAGAATCACGATCGAGTCAAAGTCCAGACCTCAACCCAATTGAAATGCTGCGGTGGGACCTTTAGAGAGCTATGCATAGAAAAAAATGCCCACAGTCCTCAATAAACTGGAGCAACATTGTAAAGAGGAGTGGGCCAAGATTCCTCAAATTCCTCCATTTTTCTGTTTTGACTTGAGAGAGAGACCAAAAAAGTCATACAGAAAATGATTACTTCAAACTATTGCTGCTAAAAGTGGGTGTAGAAGCTACTGCATCCTGGAGTGTTCTCAGTATTTTATGCACTGCTTTTGCATAGTTTTTGCATAAATTTGTATAATGACACACTGTTGTGTATTGCTGTTCATCTGAGGTTGTATTTACCTAATTTTATGATCTGATAATAACTAGTTAATGTTTTATTATGCCCTGATATGTAAGACCATAGAATTAGGTGTACTTTGTTTTTACCATGACTGTATCCTGGCCAGTGTTGTGATAATGACGTTGTCAGAACCTGTAGAGAGTCAAGCATATAGTGAAGCTATAGCTGCGCACAAAACCTCCTGGAAAATCAAAGATTTTCATTTTTGAATTCAGACGGAGGCAGGTTAGCTGTTTCCCAGGGTTCAATCCTCTGCTAAGCTAAGCTTTTGCTGGCTTATAGCTTTATGTGGTACAGACGTGAGAGGGATGCCAGACTTCTCAAACAAAGGACATTTACACTTTGTCTCAGAACATTTATTGAATAGCAAATGATTACAGATGAAGTTCTTCTAGTCCTTCATTAAGTAATGAAAGCACCCTGGAGACCGTGTGTTTATCTTTGGTGAAGTACGAGAAGTCCTTCTTTGTATTGCATTAGTGATTTGAAGTGTAAGTGACTTCTGCATGAGTGTATCCAGGCCTCCACGAACTTGCTGAGACACTGGTTTGACTTTGTTAGATTACTAACCACTTGTCCCCCCCACACTTTCTTATTTCTCTGCTTATCAGTAGGTTCAGCCAGGCAGCTTGTCCCACTTACAGACTATATTTATGTCACTTACTGTGTGTCATTTTCTATGCAGATACAGTATGAGCTGCAGTGTCATAATGTAAGGAGAGAGCTGAAAGCCTCAGTTGCATAAGTTCATAGGCATTGAACTTAAACCCCTGTTAAAGTAGCTTCTCAGAGCTGCTATGAAATGATTTATTGTGATATTCTAAAAGTCTTTTTTTTTCACAGTTGTCCTTTTAGAGACGGCTATAAAAGTTGTAATAATAGTTGTGAAGGACGTCTCTACTTTAAACACATAAGGTAGTTATGCTTACATAACTTCAGGACCAATTACACAGTATTTTTAGTCTAGTTCAACTGTTTGCACACCCAGTTAGTTTCATATCGTTATCAAAATAGACTATGATAACATTCTCCCTGATGACCTTTCATGGACTTTGAAACTGACTTTGAAGGATTAAAAACAAACAGCGGGGTAGCAGTGATCTGTACGGGGATAATTACGATGCTGTGATGGATTGATTCTGAGTACTTGTGCTTGAAGTCAGGTAGAGCAGTTCAGCTGAAGTCTTTCTTGTGGCAACAAAAGTAGAGCTTCAGGTAACCTTTTTTAAAAAGCGTTTTTTGCATATTGATTAGCCAAGAAAGGATATAGCCCACCTACAAGGAGAGTCACAGATGCCTTCACTGAGCCAGTTTAAACCTATATTTCCATTTTCCAGAAATGGTGGAACAAAACTGTATTATATATTAATGTGCACAAATTTAGACTAAAAAAAGGAAGACCTAGGTGAAGAAATGCCTCTTGTGTGGGAAAAGTCATGGTTCTTTGAGGAGCTCCCACCACATTTGTGTTGCATCTGATTTCCAGGAAAGGGGGTTAATTGCCTGTTAATGTTCTTTTAATGCTTTAGGCCAGGTAGAATTCCTGGAGGCAGGTTTAGTGAAAATTATACAGATTCTTCTTCATAAGGCTTTAAATGATAAATGCTAATTCCTTTGTAGATATGGAGATTACAGTGGATGTAGTGGGCCATGGGGTTCCAGTCAGTTGCTGCCATTTAGTTGGTCTAATCTTGCAGAAATGGCTTTGGTGTGAGCTGTAATGCATGTGGTTCGATTGCCAGGCCTCCTTGGCCTCACACTTCCCTGACCCTTTGTCTTGAAGGAGAGCTGATGTGTGGCACTCTGCCTGATTGATCAAAGGCATCCTGGAGTCAGTTGTCTCCTCTTTGTTTGTGTTGGTTGCATGTCCAGTGTGGCTGGTTTGTTCCTACAGAAGTAAAGAAGTAGAAGTGCACTCTGAGAAATGTAGTGGGAAGACTGCTCTCCAGGTTCTGCCTGGTAGATTTTGTATAATCTTGCTGAGTTGCAAACAAACGACACCGAAAAACAACACAATTACTTCCCAGCACATTAATAAAAATCTATGTACAAAGGTTTCCCCAAAATGTATAAGCAAATTAACCGCCTCTGCAAGATGGGCTTTTTCTGGAAATATACAACGTATTAAACATATTAAACAAACTCTAAAGCCTCTGTGAGTTGAATATTAATTTGAGTACAGCTTCTTGTAAATGATTCTAATGGCAGTTCTTGTTTGGAGAACCTTGTAAGCATTAAAGGGATTTATAATGCACTTTTATTAGACCATCTAAGTGTCATTCCAGGCATGCATTGATTTTATTTTTTTTTCTTTATTGCTTTGCCTGAATCTGTTTAGCAGATTGCGCTCAATTAAAATTCAGGCTGTTCATTTTGTAATCTTAAAGGCTGTACACACTGTTTATCTCTTGGCAGCTGTCTCCAGCTTTCTCTCCATTTTTGTTTTGTTTTTATAGGAAGAAGTAACATCCCATAATGAAAATATGCAGTATCTGAACCTGGCGGCGAGAGCTTGGGCTCAGAAACAAAGGAGTTCCTGCCACAGCAAACTGAGCCCAGAGTTGCGAGACACCTGTCGAGTCAAGCGGGACTCGGGTGGGCAAATCAAGAAAAATAGTGATCGGGTTAGGAATTGTGCACCCTTCAGTATTCCCTACGGACCACATCTCATCTCTGTACGCTGTCAGCAAGAACTGAGGAGGACGACCCCCGAAGATGTAGAGGTCAACTCTTCCAGCAACGGTGCAGTCAGATCTCAAGAGGACTGCGCTGTCAGCTCCGATCCAGCACAGACAACCAAGTTTGCAGCTGCTGTCAGACTCGATCAGAGAACACATGGATGTAACGCTGGTTCAACTCGGTGTAGAGAATGTGACTGTGCAGATGGGACATCAAAGAACCTGTCAGAGGATTATAAGGCATCAACGCATACAACAATAACCACTAACGACTTGTTAGACTGCCTGGTGCATCCAGACATCATCACCCGTGTCACTGAGCTGCTTCTAGAAAAGCATACAGGAAGTGACACGACCACCTGATCATCCTAGTTTTGATATTCACTTATCAGATGCAACATGAACATGGGGTTTGTGAGCCACGATTATTTATTAAGTTTTTTTTACCCAGAAATTGGCCCTCCAAGCTACGAGTCATGTTTTGGCATCATTAAGTAAGAGGCCCGACTTTTATTTCTTCTCTCATTTGTCACTCTTGACCTTCTTGACGTGAACCACAGATGCAGGAAATCACAGCCAAAAGTCATTCTAGTGCTGCAAGTGACAGTCTAACATATCCTTGTTTTGTTTTCCTGCACATGCTGATCCTTTTTGGTTCTTCCAAACTAGGAAAAATGGCCACTGGAATCAATTTAGTATGTTAAACAATCAAATAATTCAAGATAATATTCCAGGGATACAAACATTGTGCAGAAAACAATGTTTCACAATGTCAGTTAGTAAGGGGGGAATCATCATTGAGCAGCCACAAAGGACTCCTTGTAATAGTTTTGTGATTGATGAAAGCTGTGTAAGAAGTGATAAATGAAATGTTTGAATAGTCTGCTGTATGTGTGCGGATAATAAATGTAATATACCCACTTTGCCTAATTGAATTCCCTGTACTTGGTTTGTCCTACGTGGGGACATTTTACACATCTAAACTTGGTCAAAGAGTTTTTGTCAAAATTGTTGCAGTTATGATAAACGGGAGTAAACGATTGACAAGAATACAAGTTTTAATCTGCATTAAAACTTCAAACATCACAAAACAAGTTTATTTACAGAACTTTAGAGGAAAAATCAAAGTTATACTTTTCCCTGAATAAAAAACATCACATATTGTCAAAAAACAAACCACAGGCAAAAAACATCAGTTTCTGCAGGTTTGAAAAAATCACACATACAGCACTTTGCATCATACTTCTTTTTGTTTTTTAACAGCACACTTGTTGATTTGCAAAGATGGCTCTGTGATGATGACGTGTCCCAATGAGCAGCATGAACAGTAGCAAGAAATTCTTTCATAATTTTTACTTTTTTTTTCATATCTGTGATTTTTCTGCCTATAAACAGTAAAAGAAATCATTATGTATGCAAAAACAAAGCTGGATGTTTCTGCACAATTTTAAACTTCAACGTCAGCAAAGCAGAAACCTTTACAGGGAAATCATTCACAGGTGGATACAAGGACTACAAGTGGTACAAATGAATGCAAAAAAGACTTCTTTTTTTTCCAGGTGGCATAAATAAGACTTTTTGAATGAATAAAAGTGGACTTTTTCAATAGATTACTTGTTCAGCTCCTGTATGGATCCCTTACGCTCCTCACTGCTTTCTGACCCAGGCCCTCAGAAAGCTTTCCTTTCACAGCTGCTTAGATTGTCTCCTATTTAGAAGGTTACTTGTTCGCTCCCCAGCTCCTGCAGCTGTTGACGTGCCTGTGGGCAAGATGCTGAACCCCAGGTACCCCTGATGAATCCGTCTAGGTTTGCATGTGTACGTTAAAACTGTGTCTGTGGTTGCAAAGGGAGCCAATCCAAGAACAAAAGAGGATTCAAGCATCGAATATGTGAAAGTCATTTAATCAATGTTAAAAGTCTAAACCTAACTATGTGTGAGTAAAAGGGGAAAACCATTAGCGCTACATGTGACACGTGTCAATACAATCCTTCTATTTTCCCTTGTATAGACTTCTGAAGCAGTTATGAGTTACAGTCAAAAGCTGATAAATCAGGACTGAAATCTACCCAGTGGTTGAGGTTCTGTAATGAAACAGCTGCTTTCTAAGATCCAAACAACCAGACTGGAACTTTTTTAAAATTCAAGTGGCTAATGTGACTTTTTTTGTTTCTTCAAAGAAAAAAAAACAGCTCTAGAGGGACAAACTTGTAAATTTGTGTACTTGTATCCACGACTACTGAAAGATTGTTTCAGACACTGGCTGCACTACATGCAGACCCTTGAAACCTGTTTGAGAAACTCCGTTTTGTTTAGTTGTTCAGGTACAAACAGGCAGAAATACCCTTGTAATTAGAGATCATATCACATCAGACGTTTAGTAATGATGAGCTTTGTTTTCTGGAAATCAAACATTGTGATAAAGGCACACAAAGCGAACTGAATGCTTTCTGTCCAATATTTGCACAGCTTGTGATTATCATGAACAGCATTCTGACATGGGGTTAATATGCAACAAATATATACAGTGTAGTATTAACATGCTTTAATAACACTATTGATCATTTTGCAGAAATGACTATTTTGTCTTCCTCGAACATTATTTCATATTTTAAGTTTGATTCAGGAAGTCCTTTCCTTGTAAGGTTATAAAGTTTGAAACGGGAGTTTTTCACAACATATGTTAAATGATGTCACGAGTCCTACACTTTAAAACCACAAGAAATCTCCAACAATCACATCTTAGAGTTTCATTTTCACTAAAATAATACCTTTATAAAGCACAAAGCAGCCAAACGTATAATGAGGTGTGACTAATGTCGTGGTATTACATTTTGGTGCTCTTCCCCGTTTTGTTCAGTTCTATCTCGTTGTTTTTCTTCTTGAAGTCACTGTCGTCTTCCTCCCTCACTGAGTTTTCCAGGTAAAGCTTCTCCATTTCTTCGGGGTCAACGTAGGTGTAGAAGTGGGCCATGACGGAGAAGATGATGCAGACGCCCAACAGCAGGCAGGCAAACAGCAAGAACTCTATCCACTGAGATAACAGAGAGAGTTTAGTGTTCGCTGCACGCGCTCGTGACCGATTCAGTTCATTTGTTGCTCACCAAGACACAGAACCGTTTAGTTGCTGAAGTACGTTTTATTTAAGCTGGCGATTTTTGGTACACACATTGTGGGATAAAAGAGGTGAGAAACACGCTCCAGTGGATTATAAGATACCCCAAGTTCATCCTTATCTCTCCATTAAACCTTGTTACAGTGCACAGGTAGCTTTGGTTTATTTCTACTTTATGATACATTGCAATAATGAAACTTTTGTACATAGCACTTCTAATCTTTCTTTTTGTCCATTAGAGTCTGTTTTTATGGCTTTTATTATATTTCTGTTACTTTAAAGCGTTTCAGTGTTTTTATCTCTTAAGTATATTGCTTTATGACATCATCTATTAGGCCGGTGTGCGATGCAGCTTTCTTTCATTCAACAGACACAACAAATTTTGTTCTATGTGTCTCACTGAATTACAATAACGATCCTTACCAGTTATTAACACGTTAAGATGTAATTTTCAGTAGTTAGGGTTTATACACTCTCCGGCCACTTTATTAGGTGCATGTTGCCGGTTGCAGCTGAGTTGCTACAATTAGCTGATTAGATGCTCGATTGCTGAGTAGTTGAATCAAATGAAGTGGCCGGTGATTAAAAACCTTTCTTTCTTTTTTGTGTAAGAGTTTAAATGTTTCCCACAATGCCCTTCAAGAGTCATACCTGTTCCAGTCCTGCCCCTTCTGCCACAATCAGCACTATCACATTGCCAAATGCCACCGTGAGCAGCCAGCCAGCCTGCAGCACTGACTTCATGTTGGCTGGAGCCTGGGGGTAAGACAGATGCAGGGTTAAAGAAATAAAGACAGCTGGCAGCCCTGGGACTGTACACATATTTCATTGATTCGTGAAGTAGGAATTTAACATCTTAATAATATGACAGAAACAGATCTGGAGGGGAAATCACTTCCTTGGGCAACATTCAGTGGATTAAAATTTTAATAGTAAACGCACCGTTTTCTAAGTATTTCTACAGAAAATTCCAATTTCATGGGATCTTTAATAAACAGCTCTTCTAAAAACCTGTGTCTTGTTTATCAGTCTTTAATGTCACAGGTTGCTCTGAAACGCAGCATTCCTCTGACACACAGCAAGCTAGTGGATGTCAGCTTTATGGCCATTACATTGGAATAAAAAGGTAGCTAAATGCTTTACATCATCATACTCTGCTTCAGTAATAATTTCTATTCAAATTGCTTAACAAATTTTATTAGCCCGCCTGTCATGAAACCACAAATATTTCCAAAATCGGTCAAAAACATTGGTTTAAAAAACCTTTTTCAACTGAATTCACATTTTTATACCCTAAAACTGAGCTGGCACACAGAGAAGTCAGCAGTAAATTTGAAGTCTGTGTATACTGGTGGATTAACCCTTACAGAAACATAAATTAACCGCGCTGATAGTTACAAAAATAATTTTTTAAGGCAGCTGTGGCATAGACTGGGCAGTGGGCTAATACAGCGGTCCCCTACCTTTTTTGCGCCACGGACCGGTTTATGTCCGACAATATTTTCACGGACCGGCCTTTAAGGTGTCGCAGATAAATACAACAAAATAAAACTAGTACCGGTACCGAAAAAGAAGATTTATTCATAACGCATGTGAAACAACCCAGAAAAACCAAGCAAACGACAAAAACGATAACAAAATAACGCTTAAAACCGATAAAAACCCTGAAAACCATACATTTCACACCCGAACCTCAACTCTCACGGCCTGGTACCAAACGACTCACGGACCAGTACTGGGCTAATACATCTAAGTGCTACAGTTTAAAGCTAAGTATAAGTATAAAGCTTCCTGTGTTTGCTAATATGGACAAAAGTGTTGTAAGACAACTTTCCCTTTTTTCCAACCAGATGTATTCCAGTTTGGAGAATTTTCCTGGTTGGAAGCTACTGTCCTTGAAAACCTTTTTCTTTGAAGCCAAAAAGCTTTCAGTGTTTAATATTCCAAACAAAGATTTTCAGTGGAATGAGTACTGGTAATCCTGATAGGTAGTGTGTATCACATCACCTGTGAGTAGGAGAACTCCAGGCCAGTGATGGAGAACATGACCTCTCCAGCAGTGATGAGGATGTACTGTGGGATCTGATAGGCAATGTGCACATTGTTGGCTTTCACATCCTCGATCTTGTGAGGCACAATTTTACCCGCCTCCTGAGAAGGGACACAGAAGGGCTGTAAAACTGCTATGATCTGTGATGACTAAATGAAGTTGTTAGAAAGCATCCTGACCTCTGTGAGAATGACAGTGTAACACGCGCCAAAGTCCAGCAGGCCCAGGTTAAGTTTAGAGGTCTTTCCTGAGTTTGAAATGCAGGAGACATCAGTGTATCTGTCCAGAGGGCAGAAGAGTTACGTGAATTAGAGGAAAAAAATCAAACAGCATGATTTAACTAACAAGATATACGTTGATATTAACACTGTTTGTTGCTTTAAACAAAACAGAAAAAATCACAGCTTCAACATTATGATCTCTTTGGACATGGAATTATGAAAAAAGTGATGTCTCTTGTTTTTGCTTTTTTGTGAGGTTGGGAAAAGCTTAGCAGATATTTGGCATTAGGGCTTTTCCTTCCAGTTTTGACCACCACTTCCCAAAAATCCAACTTACTCGCCCCGCTGCACGGTCTTGTTATGAGTCACATTGTACCCGGAGGACATGTAGAAATTATTATCTCCCACCGTTACGTTTAAGGCCTCCGGCTGTGTGTTGAGGAACCTGTTAAATATGAACCAGGAGAACTCGTGAGCAAACCTCATTATTCCAGGTTGACCTATATTTTAAAGCAGCAGGGGAACAAGCAGATTCAGATGCTTTACAGCTTAAGCACAAAAGCTTAGCAACAGCCTCGAGGTAAAAAAGGTTTTACCTCAATAATGGATTCCCTTCTTCGTTTTTTGTTATGTGATCTTCTACCTGAAAGATTAAAAAACATCAACATCTGCTATTTGTAATTTATGCCATATTTTCAATTTAGACTCAAGGGAATTCTTTAGAAACTTGTATAAATATTAATGCAGATTAGCGTTCATAGAGAGTCTGTGTAATCCTTCAGCTTATTACAGCTGATTTAGACTTCTGTGGTGAATCTTTGTAGAGCCAACGACCTAACCACTGAGTGCTGGTGCATTATGTGTTCATTGGCTTGTGGTTGTGGCAGCCATGATGGAAACAAATCCTGGGTCGCTCTTTTTGCTTTTGTTTTTATTCAAACATATTCCACTTCTTTGTAAATTTTCGCTTGAGAATTTCAAGTTTTTGCAATCTCCAGGAAATTGCGGACATCTGTGATTCCTTACACTTAGGCTATTAATAATATAATTCCTTATTCTGACGTTAATGTGATTATTATTGGCATGCAGATTCACCCCCCCCCCCGACTCAATAAAAGTTTCTACCCACAGGCTGTCAAAGATGCCCTTAATTGAAGGTTAACTGTGCTGTTAACATTTCCACTGTGTTTATAAACCATATTTATTATATTGCAACCATCTTACTCAATTTGCACTACCTCTTTAACTTATTCTAATGGAATTTTAATAAATAAAATATGAATTTTAATATAAAAATCTACCTAGCCTAACTGTCTATCATTGTTCTTGTAAAAGTGACAATAAAGATTTATTCTGTTCTGCGTAGGGTTTTAGAATGATCTGTGGTTATGATGTACCTATGGTGCCGATGTATTAATCTCCTGTTACCGAGTCCCACAATAAAACAGCTTAATCTGAATTTCTGCATTTGTATTTTTGCCTTTCTTTACTAACTGACCTCAGTGTGAACCAGGTGCACCAAACTGCTAAGCGGACTTGTCTGCTTAGTGTGTTTATTTAATGTGATCAAGCAGACACGTCTAACTCCACAACCACAAGATGATGGCAACTCTGGGGTTTCTCTTCCATAAAGAGATTTCATTTAAATGGATCATTTCTCTCTGACTCTTCCTCTTCTGTTGCACCTGAACCAGCTGACCGACAGCTGATATTATAGCACGTATGGAAATGCATAAATGTCTATGTGTTCGCCAGTTCCCTGAAATGTCCAGTTAAATATTTCACGTCCATTCCTGTGGTAATAACTGTTTAAAAAAAAAATAAGATGGTTTAGTCACAAAAAACACTCGTCACTGAAGAATCATTTGCTGTTGTGTTGTAATCTGTCACACTGATGGAAAAATGTATGACAACATTGGCATCGTGTTGGAGATGATGTCAAGATTGTAAAGATGAGCCGTAAATGGCTTTCAGATTGTGCAGTGGGACTAAGAGTAGTTTACAGAGTTTCAGAGAACTTGAACGTGTTCTGACAACATGTTAAATGTGCACACACGCTGAAATACAGTCATTAAACGATAATGAACAACTTTTTAAAACGTCTAAAAATTTGAATTTGAACCTCGACATCTTTTCCACTGCAAATGATCAAAATAGGTTGTCCTATTATCAAAGGTCCATGATTCATTTTTAATTAAACTGCCTGCTGCAGATGACAGCTTGTCCCACTTACGTTATAGCTAAATCGTCAGGGGGCTCGGTCTATGACCCAGCATTTTTGAGATTATGGATTTTCTGTGAATTCTTTGTGTTGGTATGTTTTAGTTTTCTATTATTTAGTATTAATTCATTTATAGCATTGACTGTATGTTTACTTACGTTTGTTTCCATGTTGTCTGGTCCAGGTGTTTAAGTCATGTTTCCTGTTTTATTTTGAAGGTCTTGTGCTCCATGTTCAGTGTGTCTAGTTTTGCTTCCCCTGTGGTGTCATGTTCATTTGTGTCAGCTGTGTTTCTGCTTCCCTCATTACCCGCCTGTGTATTTAAGTCCTCTGTCTGCCTTTGTTCATTGTCAGGTCGTTTGCTTTCTTTCCGTCATGTCTATGGATTTCATGTTTCTCAAGTGTTGGTTTTTCTTCATCCTCATCCTTATGTTCGTGTTATGGTTTTCATGCGTAGTTTTAGTTTTTCCAGTTCAACTTAACGTTTAGTTTTTGCCTCTGTTCGCCTCTGCCTTTTGCTTTTGTGTTTAGTTATCAGCCTGAACAAACGCTTGCTTTTTGTTAAATCCTGTCATCCTGTCTCTCGGTCGTCTGCTTTTCTGTCCGCTCCTCAAACAAACCGCCCTTCCAGCCATTGACACGAATAATTCAATTTAAAATTTAAATGTTAAGAAAATTCAAGTTGGGAAATGATGACAGGATCTTTTCTCCTCTCTCGTCCACAGTGACGCTCATTCATATTTCTCGACCAACTATGTTAAATTGTAGGCTCTGCTCTGTATCGTTGCCATGGTGAATCATGGAATCAGAGTTCCGTTGATGACGCCTTTCTCTCGCTACACACGCACATGCTTGACTCACAGTTGAGTTGATTTAACTGGAACAGGAAACTCGGTTTCCCAACACAGAGTTTATGATCAGACTCAGAGTTTGTTGAACCTGCTTTCTGGATCAGAGCGCTGACCTCATGTCGATTTTTAAAAATACTTTTAAAACCAAACTGTACTCATTGCTTATTTAATTCTCAATAGTCAACAGTGTTGGGAAAAAAAGTGAAGATGTGGTAACAGCTCGTAGGAACACTCACTAATGTGTAGGTGATTCCAGTAGCGTCGGGGTAAATGATGACACTGTAGGCCTTTTTCTCTTCAACCTTCTGGGTAGCCGAAAAGTTTCCTCCATTGACTACAGTGACTTCAAGATTCAGCTCCCCGTTGGACAGTGGAACAGTCTCATAACCAGGAGGGTCCTGAGAGAAGCCAGAGAGTTAATGTTTTTAGAAAATTGAATTATAAACTTACTCATTTGCCAGAATGAAGTTATGAAATCTCTTGTTTCTGTAGAACAGCTCAATCAAAGTTAAAATAGCATTTTCACTGTTAACGGCACACTGAGTTTTAGTTTTGTCTTATCTCTTCTTACATGTATTACTAGTTGAATTCTGTTTATTTATTATTTCGTACATGTCTGCTTTTTCAAAAGGTACACACACTTCTAATTGCAGCAGGCCAAAGTTAAAGGGGTAAGAAACCTGGAGAACACATACACTCATACATACGTGGATCTCTGAAAAATGGTCAGCCTACACTCCTGACAATTATGCAAAGAAAAATCCACTGTACATGTGAACGACAGGGAAATGTAGTTTTTAATTCTATTCGCCTTGAGCCACAGTGAAAATTATGAAAAGTTTAGCCACCTGCACTCTTCTTACCTCAAGGTACTTGATAGACTGTAGAAACAGATCGGTGCCAGGAGCCTTCAGACTGACATCATCTTTAGCAAGGTTGACAACCTGCAAGAGACACTTCCCTGCAGGTGCAGGATTCACCACAGTTTTCTATTAGAGAGAAAAGCAAATCAGAGCACAGTGATGGAAAAATATCAGCGAAAACACTTTTTGACCAGTCAGACAATCACTATGAGATAAAATCAACAACAAAACAGTTAAAGTATAAGATTCAGGTGGGTATGCTAGAAAAAGCAAATGTACTTAATATCAGCAAAAAGATACTGTTAAGTTTTGGCATCCAAACTTTAAAACTGCAAGCTACCATTATGATTATACATCTGAACTGTACACATTCAGGTTTTCCTGGAAACATGAGCAGTAAGGGTTTTGCCGAGTGTGAGTGCTTTTCTGTAGCAAGATGCAATCACTATGATTGCTGCTCATACGTACCACAACGTTCACCTCCACCAGAGTGGCTGCTCCGAAGGCCAGGGCTGCAAACACCATTCCCATGGCCATTTTCCTCAGAGGTCTGAAAACAGAGAGAGTTGGTGCCCAACAGTTAATACCTTTACCTGTTTTTCACTGCTTTTTAAAATATTCTGAAAGCGTGCCTTTATCATTTTATCAGAAGGGTTATTTCCACACCAGTGTCCTCCCTGACAAACTTTCTGTCGCATTATTTCCTTGTTATGGCTGTGCATCCCTAAGTCTGGTCCTAATGTTAAAAGGGAGTTCTTGTTTCCTATTGTCACCAACTCCTTGCTCATTGGGGATCATCTGATTGTTGGGATACTCTCAGAAGCGTTACGTCACTTGGGTGCAAACTCCAGAAAGTCAGGATCTCCTAAAAAGAAAATTGGTCCACTAAGAATATGATTTGGGAAACTTTGGGAAGCCTAAAATGTTCACATTATCCTGTTTTTGCCAAGCATTTCTATTTTCTTGTGTCTGTATATGGATCATGCAAAATGCTTTTACTGATGTGTGAGCTTGAATTTCTTTCTCAGCTTTGCACGACAAAAAAATATCGGATTGGATGCATTGGTGTAAAGCATGCCGCCACTGGACTTTGGAGCAGTGGAGACGTGATCTCGAATCACGAATCACACATCTCCATCTGGCAATCCGATGGACAACTCTGAGTTTGGCTCTTACCAGGAGAACAGTACTTGTCTGACTCCAAGGAGGGAGGATTATGGTGTGGGGTTGTTGTTCAGCAGCTGGGCTTCACCCCTTAGTTCCAGTAAAGGGAACTCTTAATGCCTCAGCATACTGAGACATTTTGGACAGTTTAATGCTGCCAACTTTGTGGGAACAGTTATATATATGCCTATATGTTGTTAGTACAAACGATGGCCTATGGCAGCTTGGATAGGCTGGATGGCGGTAAGAAACACAGTTTTAAATTGCTCTATACAGCGTTATTATGTTTTTTTCAAATCAACCTAATAATCTTGAAGGAGAGGCCAGAGGTCAAATGTTACTTGATATTTTAAATCCTTTTGCAGTACTTTCTATATGTCGACATTACACATTTCACTAGAACCACCATCTCTTTATACTTACAGGTTATAAGGTTTTTGTGTCAGTTTTTAACTAATAGTTGACCTTGAAGACGTTGGTCGATATAAGTCAAATTTTAATGAATTGTTAATATGACCTCACTCTATACGCTTACAAAGATTTATCAGAAATCATTCAAAATAGAGTTCTACACACACAATAGTAATATTACACAATATTAGAGCTGGGCGATAGAACGATAACGATATGTATCGCGATATAACTTTTACTCGATAGAGAAATTAAGCTATCGCGATAGACCTCGCCGCTCTTGTCCTCTTAAAAAAAAAAAAAAAAAGGTCAGCCAATCCAAATTAAGTAGCGCAGAGCCGAACCAATCACAGCCGCAGCGTCACGTCGCGTGACTTGTTACGTACAGCACAAGTGCCAAGCCGCACGTGTGTTTGTTTGGGAAGCAGCGTGTGCCGACTAGAAAAATCAACCGAGCGTGACCGAAGAGAAAACAGATGATGGTTCCAATGCCGGAGAGATTGTCGAACGGAAGAGCCATAGAAGTTCCGTAGTGTGAAGGTATTTCGGCTATTTCAAGTCTGACAAAAAACAGAGTAGCGTGCACTGTAAATTGTGCCGAAAGCAAGTCTGGAAATACAATAAACTGGTGCATGCGTCACACTGTGCGCCACGTTATTGTTTCCATCATCCATCCATCCATCCATCCATTCGCTTCCGCTTATCCTTTTCAGGGTCGCGGGGGGCGCTGGAGCCTATCCCAGCTGTCATAGGGCGAGAGGCAGGGTACACCCTGGACAGGTCGCCAGTCTGTCGCAGGGCCAACACACAGGGACAGACAACCATTCACACTCACATTCACACCTAGTGACAATTTGGATTAATCAATTAACCTATCCCCACAAGCTGCATGTCTTTGGACGGTGGGAGGAAGCCGGAGTACCCGGAGAGAACCCACGCAAACACGGGGAGAACATGCAAACTCCACACAGAAAGACCCCGGCCTGATGGTGGAATTGAACTCAGGACCTTCTTGCTGTGCGGCAACAGTGCTAACCACCGTGCCACCGTGCTGCCACGTTATTGTTTCGGTGAAATGAATTTCTACAATACTGTTACTGTTAATTCTACTCTCTGCAGTGTTTAAATGCTTACATATACACACAGTTACTGTCCCTCCACACATACGACTCGGTTCTGCTTCTATGCCCAGCTTTGTTTACTTTTTCCCACCGAGGCTTCTAGACTTCTGATTGGCCAACATTTCTGCACGGTTAGGAATCTAGCGCCACCTGCTGCTTTGGCATGTTCATAGCAGCGTTTTCCTTCATTTCTGCCTTTATGTGTGGACGGGATTATTTTTTAAAACGAAAACGGAAAATCTCCGTTTTCAAAAATACCCGTGTACGTGTGGACGTAGCCTCAGTCTCTGACTGGAAGCGCTAATTCGTCATTCGGCTTTTGTCAGACTAAAGTAACTGTTAAAACTGTTTGAAAAGCTAGCTATACAACAAGGAGAGATTGAGAATTTCCTTTTAGTTCTCAGTTTATTTGATATTGACAAAAGTTAGTCAGTTTTGTCTGTTCTTCTGTAAAACAAACTAAGATTTATTTTTAGAATTAATATTTTGTTTCTAAGTGGAATTGACAATTTAGTCTGTTTCGTTTGTTCTATTTTGAAACTTAAACGCTTTAGCGGCTGCCTTTTGTGTAGTTTGCAATATTTGCCTTTATTTATCTGAAAAAGTCTCATGTTCCTTAAGTACATCTACCCTGTTGAACTTATTATGGGAAATAAATATTTAAATAAAAACAAGCTGCTGATTATTTCACATTTTACTTGTGAGCAACGGCACATTTAAATCTTACAAATATAGTTATTTGGCTTATATCGTGATAGATATCGTTATCGCCTGAAATGAAAAAAACATATCGTGATATGAAAAAATCTCATATCGCCCAGCTCTAATGCTAATGCGACCAAAAACGTAATGTGGTGGGGCGTGGTGTGCGGTGCCGTGCAGGGAGGGCGGATGCACCTGCGTGGCATCCTCAATTCCCCATGTTAAAACACGAGGAATCAGGGTTTGGAGAGGGTCGAGAAGTTGTGGTGTGATGCGTGTCGAATGAATAAAGATGGCTTTGACTAGCACTCTCTGGACCCTGTGAATTTCCCTACCTGAGAAACAAGTATGGAAATTCATATTTACACTGTGAGAAGTACTTTGGAGTCGGGTTTAAAAGTAAATGTTTAACATTCATTAAACATTCATTTGTAAATGAATACCAGACACTTCCCTCAATCGTTAACTTTCTTTTCTAAGGCATAATCCTGGGAAATATATGTGGAATCACATGCTTCATTTTTTCCATTTTACGAGATTACAAGATGATCCTGAATGAAATTAAAGGTGGCAGTACAAAACAAAGCCAAAAAAATCCACTACTCACGTGATCTTGAGTCCGCAGAGTCTAACGAGCGGATATATGATGAGGTCAAAGATAGGCACAAAGACAAGAATCAGCAGAGCATTCAACATCTAGACAACAAGGGGGAGGAAAATTAGTCTTTTAACGACTCTATAAAAGCTCTGTAGAGTCCATAAAATCATAAATGTTGCGTCAATAAAGAGAGAGATCCTGATTCGGTATTGCTTGTAAAGAGATGGCAGTGAAGAAGAACCATAAAAGTGTTTTCATGAAAATAGCCTCATCACAGCCTAGTCAAACATTGGTCTTCATTAGTGAGGGGACTTGAGAGATGCTTCTTTTCACTGGATGTTTAAAATCTGTGCCTTAGATTAGCTGGTAGGTTCTGCATTAGAAATATATAACAGCTGTGCAGGACACTCCATCAATTATGGTGCTGTATTCAAGCACACTGGCTTTGAAACCTAACAGAGACTACGAGGGAGAGAGTCTCGGGTTGTTTATATCAGAACAACATGAAGCTCTTTTTTATGCTTAGTCTTTAAATCGTAAAGCTTAAAAACACGGTAACCATTAACACTTTATAGTCAAGTTGTGTAATGCTCTTTACTGGCATAAGTGAAGCTGCAATGCAAGGCTCACATGGTAAGCCTCACTCATGACATCCACAGTGCCTGCTGACACTGGAGATAAAAAGAAACATTTTAATTTTTCCTGATGGCTTTGGTTTATTTTTGACTGTAATGACAGTGTGGCTTTTAACTTTATGCAAGTTTTTGTAACTAGTTTGTAGTTTAAACTACTAATGTTTTAGCAATGAAAACTACAATCACTTTCAACCATAAATTTTGACTATGAACTTCAACACCACACGCCCATTTCAGCAGCTCGTTTATTTATCCATTAGATGATATTTTCTAATTTTTCATATTGCCTAAGCACCACCGACTATATTTAAGCATCTGACACCTTTATACAACCAAATTCTGAAACTAATGGATAGAAATTCCAGTTCAGTGGATAAGGGACGAGCTATAAACTCTAAATGCAGCACATCAATTTCGTGCTCTGTATTGGAAATATGTCAAACGGTGTTGTCCCTTTTAAATAAATAAATAGAAAAAAATTGAGTCTGGCATTTATCCAGTGACCATAAAGGCTGCAATGAAGGCCATGACCAATGGTCAAGTGCAGATTAACATGTCACCATCTTTTACTGCTTTTCTTAGCAGGAAAAAACTGTGACTGTAACTATGACATGATAAACTGCCACAAACAAAAAAGAGGAGGAGACACTAATCACATACATTCATGTGAAAAAAAAGTTTTTACAGCTCTCTATGAAGTCCTGAGAAAAGCTAAGTCCACCCCATGATTCAGTAGTATGCAGAACCACCTTTAGTAATGGTTTTCTGTACTTTATCAGCCTCTCATCATTAACACAACATTGTGGGTGAATTTTGGAGGACTCTTCTTTACAGTGTTGTTTCCATTTATTGAGGTTTGTGGGCATTATTTTTTGCACAACTCTCATTTAAGGTTCCACCACAGTCATTTCAATTGGGTTGACGGGACCATTTCAACACATTGATTCTTTTCTTTTTCAGTCATTCTGCTGTGCTTGGGGTCATTGTGCTGTTACATGGGCCATTTTGGGCAAAGCTTTAGCTGTTAGGGTGATGGCCTCATATTTCACTCTGGAATACTTTGGTATACACAGGAGTTCATGGCTGACTCAGTGACTGCAAGGTGTCCAAGTCCTGTGGCTGGAAAACAAGCCAAAATCATCACCCCACCATCAACATAGTTCGAATGAAGTGTTTGTCCCTTTTTTAAATCTTCACCAAACATGGAGCTATGCATTACTTCCACTATCCAAAGGACATTGCTCCATTGTTCTTGAGTTTTCTCCAGATACAACTTTGCAAACCTAAGTCATGTTGCCATTTTCCTGGCCACCCTTACAAACAAGCCAGCACTGTGATGAACTTTAGCATCTAGCATGCTAACTAGCATGCTAACAGACTCCATGCAAACAGAGTCGGAAATGTAGCTCTTGGATTTTCCACTCCTGGGAAGGCTGTGGTATTGTGTTAACAGAGCTCCAGAGCAGCAAACTGCCAACACTTCTGCTTCCATAGAAGTGTTCACACTTGTTCATGATGAATTAAGTGCATTTGATTAGCAGCACCTGGCTGCTGTTTACCCTCTTAATATCTATAGAAACTGTAAGGGTGTACTTAGTTTTTCAGGGGACTGCATAAAGCACCATGAAATGTTTTTAAAAAGCCACAATACATTAAAATATCTATCATTCTTACTGAAATTCAAATATGCTGATCAGCCAGAAAAGCATGTTTAACAGTTGTCAGCAGTTTACAATTTACCCAGTGATAAATAAAATACTGAATCCTTGCAATATACAGTAAATTTAACTTAACCCATTTCCAAAGGTAAAAATTAGCATTGAACCACAGTGTGTTCGCTTGCTAAACCATTGGAAAACTACTTTGGGTCATATACATACACATATATCAGTACTGTTACAAGTATATGCTAAGAAATCTGCATCCATCACAATCATTTTCTGCTTTTCTCTGGACTTTCTGCCGTTCTTTATTGCTTTTTTAGATTAGCAGAGACTGCGCACAATTTGCATCCCAGCAAGAGCCAAATAAGCTGCACATACCTGCATTTGGTCAGGCTTAATAGCGAAGGAGTTTCCCTATAATAAAAGAAGACAAAGACAGGAGAGACACTTAAACTTTATCTTTATAAATCTAAACTTGATGAGTTGATGATTTTTTGACTTGATAACGAGCCATAAACAATGTTATTTACTAGAATAAAATGATAAATTGCAGCAACACCCTAACAAAGAAAAGCTCTCTTCTAAAGACTGTTTGTGATATCAGATGCTAATCTAAACCAGCCCACTGATAACAATGTGAAAATACAGCATCAGCTTTTTAACATCTTGACACCATTACTTCACGTAAGTAAGGTCTTACAAAAGCCAGGTTCATCCTCGTGGCTTGAAGTGTCCAGCGGGAACCCTGCAATAAAGAAAAGACATCTGTTACTGTCAAATTTGTTTAGGGCACAGCAGATGGGATTTCCTCATTTTCCCTGGAAGGGACAATAATAATAATAATAAAGGGATAGTGTATTTCTGACATGTCCTCTAAGGAATCAGTTTTAAATCAGTCAAATTACAGGAAGAAACGGATACAGGAGGAAGGAGAAACAGGAATGTTGAATGTGGCTTTGAGGTTTTTCTATAATCAGATGGTTGTGTTGACTGTTGGTCAGAGGAGAACATAACAGACACTTATGGGATTTTGCAAGAAAGTTTCGCCACAAGACCTTGATCTTGTGCTGACACAGAATGCAGTCTGTCCAAGTAGGAAGGGAACTGAGGCAAGTTTTTCTTTTTGATTAAAAAGTAAGTAAAAGCTGTGACTGTAAATGTTGCTTAAACTGGAAATAAAGGCCTGAGCACAACAGTGGAACACTATTTAAATAATACTTAAGAATATTTAATCATAAGTTATTATTAATGATTGGCTCTCTTCCACAGTGTGGTTTTTTTTGTCCTGTCTTCTTCCCCTCATCCCCAACCGGTCACGGTAGATAGTCTCCCTGAGCCAGAGGGTTCTTCCTGTTAAAAGGGAGGTTTTCCTTTCCACTGTCACCAAGTGCTCCTTCACAGGGAGTTGTCTTATTGGTGGGGGGTTTCTTTTTATTATTGTAGGCTCTTTACCTTACAATGCAGGTGACTGTTGTTGTGATTCGTCGATATATAAATAAAACCGAATTGAACTGATGTGCTAATCACATTCCTAGAGCTTATTTTCATTGGGCATTTAACTTTAGTACATGGTGTATAAAGTATGGGGTTTGGATACATAATGGAGAGCAGCTCATTGTGAAGGTTCATATGTCTTTTTCCCAACCAAAAATCACTCTCCCCTCTCAATCTCATTCAAAACACATGAGTTCAGACTAACAAAATCAAAAACAAAACACTGCATCACTGCCAGCCTCACTACGATTCACTGGCTACCTGATTCATCACAGCTGATTTAAATGCCTGAATGACATCAACATGTCTTGATGTTCTCCAGAGACCAGGGCCCTGTGCTTCGTACGTCGCTCACTACATCCAAGATCAAATGAAACATCCAAGACCAAACCATCGCGCTAACCGTGAGCGCGCTAATCCGGTTCCCCGAACACACCTGCTGTTGACGATTAGTACAGCTGGACGCAGTAATGTGACATCACTGGGTGTCGTAAAAGGGGCTACGCATCGATAGTAGAAACATTGATCGGCAACCCTCTGATTGGTCGGCGAAAATGTCGACGGAGCGCGCTCGGCTCGGTATTTTTCGGCAGCAGAGCAAGAACTCTTGAGTGAGGGATTTCAGGAGTTTCAGAGTTTAATTAAAACGCAAGGGAACACTGCAAAGGCTGCAAAAGCAAGGAGAGAGGGCTGGCAGAAAGTTGCTGACAAATTAAACTCGTAAGTAATTTAATAAGAACAATAATAATGGAGTGGATTGATATAGCGCTTTCAAGGCACCCAAAGCGCTTTACAATGCCACTATTCAGTTCTCATCACACATGGTGGAGGCAGCTACGGTTGTAGCCACAGCTGCCCTGGGGCAGACTGACAGAAGCAGGCTGCCATATCGCGCCATCGGCCCCTCTGGCCAACACCAGTAGGCGGTAGGGTAGATTTATTATATTACACTATATTATCCAATATTATATTACATTATATTATAATATGTTATATTATATCCCCTTTCACATTAGAGCCACAACAGGACCCACTAGAACATGGGAACAGGTAAAAGTGAAATATAGGAATATTCTACAGAATGGTAATATTTATCACTTATATTGCTTTTAGTCTCTTGGAAAGAGACCCTGAAATAATCTGTTTGTTTATAACAGCAACCAAGAAAAGGGCAGAGCAAAAAAAGACAGGTGGTGGTCCTGCACCCCCTCGTCAACAAGTTGGTTAAGTAAATAATACCCTCACGGGAAAATCGATATCTCTCTATGAGCACACTGTCGCGCTGAGCTAAAGGATCCTGTCTGTCCCGCAATATACGCTGAATTCTGAAAACTCTCCTTATCAATCTTGCACCTTCCGCAGGACATGGCTGCGACAGGCTTCCCAAATCCACCTTCGCTTTTATAGCCGTGGTCTCTCATCTTGATTACACGAAGTAATTTGCAATTGCTACTCTGAAATATGAATTACATCTGTAATAATCACATACATGTAATAGAATGTTAATAGTACATTTCCCTTTTTTAGGAAATGACCTGTATGTATCTGTGTGAAATCAATAAATGGATCAGGTGCTGCATTAGTCTTTAGTTACATTGATGTTATTTATTTATGGTGAAACAGTGGTGGAATATCGCTGTTGCTTTCGTATAAATGACGCGGACATACCTGCGTGGCCGCGATCTAATCCTGTTTACATAAAGTAAACCTGCTCCCAGCAGGTTTACGCTTACGGCTCTGTTGCTATGACAGCAAGTCCCGGATGGGCTTCGGGGAACCGAACGATCCAGGATCACGCGAAATCGTCAACAATCTCATCCAGCTAACTCACTTAGCGCAGTACGAAGAACAGGCCCCTGGTAATGAACTAATCATGTGACCCAGTGTGTTGACCCAGGGTGAGATCTAAAACCTGCAGGACACCGGCCCTTGAGACCTGGAGTTCTCCACCCCTGTTTTAAAGTCTTCCATGGTCTTGCTGCTACCTACTGTCATGGTTCTGGCTTTTAAACCCAAGGTTTTGCATTTTTGGACTGTAGTTTTTAAGCTTTTAGTAATGTCATTGAAGGTGTGTTGGTATGTAGTACTGTTTTATATTCTGATCTCTTGCGTAATCTAGCCTTCGACGTATCCTTTTGTGTCTTGATAAGCCCGTCTTGATAGTGGTTACTTGTTTAGTGACTTCCGTTTTTTATTTCAATACTCTGTGTCTAGCCTTGTGTCTCACTCCCCTCAGCTCCACACGCCTGCGCCTCTCTGAAACTGATTCAGCCGGAGGTCTCTTCCATATAAAAGGGAGTTTTTCCTTCCCACTGTTGCCAAGTGCTTTGTTCGTCTGGTTGTTGGGGTTTCATCTATATTATTGTAGGTACCAACAGTTGCCTTCACAGGCACAGAAACATGTATTTGGTTTTACTTCACTTTGAAAGTTTTGGCTATTTCCCCACCTGTTCCCTCTCCCCTTACTGTCTTGTTTATATGTTGTCTCAGACTCCTCTTGTCCTTAATTGCATTGTTCACATATCTGGCATTCAGATTTTATTGTCCTATTCTGTAATATTTTGGATTCTGTTTATTTCATTGAACTTGCAGCATTAAAAGATGATTTTTGACTTTATTTCCTGTGTCCTGAGTCTTGCATTCGGGGCCGCAAAAGTGGTTCACAACACCTACATCACAGATTTACTCGCACCTCAGACACATTTTATCTGTTCCTGCACGCTCATTACAGAAGGACAGTTTGTGTTAGAGCTGTGGATTTCTCCAGCAACTACTTTTAAATCGGTAAATAAATTCATTCATTCTTATAAATGTATTTATTTATCTTACCTGTCATAATATTCACACTGTTAAGGTTTAATGTCTTCTGTTTTCGGTTATTTTATTTGTGTGTAGTTGTCTTTTTGATTTTGGATTATGACTTGTTATTGCATTATGTAAAAGTAACTCTGTTTTACAAGTTAAGTTTATTATTATTTATTATTTTGTCTCACCTGCTGATCAAAGAGAGCCCAGAACATTGGGAGGGGGATGTAGAGCACCAGAACTCGCAAAACCATCTTTATCTCCTGAATCAGACGCATCTGTAAAATAAAACACACGCGCGCAAACAAACACACACTGGTTAGATGACTTTTAAAAAACTTCTACGCGTCAATGAATTAATAGAAGGAGTTCGCTGACGTTACCGAGTACTTCTCCTCAGCCCAGTCCAACCAGTGCTTTTTCGGTGGGTCATGTTTTGATTTGTTCCAACGATTTTTAAGTGCAAACTGTAGGCCAAAGGTAAATAATTGGAATGAAAATGGAGTGTGTACAACAGAGACAGAAACCCCGAAGTGTGAAATTCATATCTTTCTTAATGATTCTTGGCAGTAAAAAGCAGTAAATCAATGTGCTTGCACTTCAGCTCTCAGATAAGTCGAGGAAGAAGTATGGGATTACTCACCCCGATGCAATTGCAGACTTCCCAAAGGACGTTTCCCTGGGGAGGAGTTCTCTTATACAGACTGCTGCCAGCAATGAAGACAACTGTGTGCGATAAATGAAGAGTCAGACTGGACTTGTTTGAGTGAAGATCACAGCGAGTGATTGCCTTAATGTCAGAAGAACCAAAATAATACTGAGTACCTATTTAAGGATGGTTTGTCCTCTCACAGCTGCTAATGAAGGCTTTGGGGTAATAAAACCTAGCATGTTGTAAACGTGCTTCAGGCTTTTAGCACTAAAGCTCCTCCTCTGCTTCACCCTCACTGCGATCTGTCTGTGACCTCTCAAGAATTAAATCACAGTTTGTTTTCAAAGCGAGGGTTCAGTTAAGCATGAATCCCATAAGGATCAGGGGTGACGGGGACCGAGAGGCAGAGACAACTGACTGTCAGGACAAATGTGGATGGGTCTTGATCAAGTGTAAGGCCGGCTCGTGAAAACGCAAGCTCAGCATGCTGATCACAGCCTGGAATAAAGCTCAGATCTCGAAATGCGACTGGCAGGTTTGAAAATAGGTCAACGTTTGCAGCATCGGATATCATAAGCACACTTACTGCATTTAGCAACACGTTGCTAAAAACATGGAACTGAAGATTCTAATCGAAGAAGGACAACATGTGAGTTCAGTCCCTATTAGTAGCACTATTTTCATGCCTAAATACTGAGTTTGTGAAAAAGTTGATTAAAGCATTTCAAAAACAGCAGAAAGGGCTAAAAAAAAAAACTGTGGACAATGTAGGGACTTGATTTTACAAGATTTTCTTGCCACAGCAGAGGTTTGTGCTATGGCTCAAATAAAAAGGTCAGTTTTTCAGGGAGCTGACCGTGTTTTGTATTTTTTTTCCCCTGAAATAATTCTGTTATTGTGCACAAACAGAAATAATGTATGCTTCCCAAAGAAAACTGTCAAGTTAGAAATGTTATGTTGAAAAATCCCTTGCTCTGTTTGAAAAGCACTTGGAGAAAACTCTGTAAATGTTGAGGTGAAAACTCACCTAAAGCCACAACCATCAGGGCTGCAGGAACCCCAAAGGCCAAAGCATAACAGTCTCCACCAAAACACTTCACGTCACCTGCAGGAGTGGTGTGTGTTATTAACACAGTGGACCTCACTGGATATAATGTAACATGTAAAACTACGACTATGTGCTCACCTCTCAATATGGGTGTAATAATAGTCGACAGGAAGCTGCCAGCATTGATTGACATGTAGAAAATAGAGAAGAACTTCTGCCTCTCTGTGGTCTAGAAGGGATCAAAAACATAATCACTTACTGAGTTTAACATTGCTACAACAACTCCACATGACCACTGTTGTGTTAAAGAGTATATAAGCCTTCAGATGAGTTTTCAGATATGTCCTAAACACTGTTTGGACACCAATAACACAGAGTAAATCTAGCACTGCAGTTTAAAGTATTATTTTTACACAGTAACAAAGCAGTTAGCGAGCAACTGCCAATTCCTACATGCCACAGATAACTTCTGAGAAGTATGTGTGGCTCAGTACCTAATGTTTGATGATGGGCAGGTAGTTATCACTAAGCCGCGCCTCAAAAAAAGGCGTTATATAAAAGTTATCAGATAGCTGGGATTGGTTTCTGATAACCTTGTTTCCTTGGTGTACCAATAAAAATAATACAAATACGTCCACAAACTAAAGAAGGCTTACATGTTCCTCGTCAAACTGGTCACCTCCGAACGCCGCCACGCAGGGTTTGATCCCTCCGGTGCCCAAAGCTATGAGTATCAGACCTGACATGGACAGAGCACTGTAGGACACACGGACACAAAACACAAACAAACTGCTGATTCAAACTACAACACAGTGTATATTAATGACAGTACAGTGCTGAAAAGAAAGAAGAGATTGGATGAATGGCACTCAAAGAATCACTGAGTGAAAACTATGGGAAACTGTATGGCATTGGGAACTGTGATGGGCATCAGTTTATCAGTGACATGACGTTCATGGACCAAAAAAATAATTTTATCCTGATTCAAAACTTTTGAAACCAATGCTCAAATTCCTTCAGTGCAATAAGGATTATTAATTATTACACCTCCTCACCTCTTCCTCTTCTAACAGTGCTGGGCTGTGATTGTGCAGAGTGATAGAATTAGCTCGTGACAACTCACATGTGCAATTCGGTGCTTCCCACGGTGGGAATGGCTCCAACCGACTTGACCACATGGCCGATCACATATACAATGGACAGGTAGATGATGGTCCTGTGGGGAGCAAGCTGTGATTATGTACAGGGCATTCAGGCCTTCTTCAAAATCTCTATGTGTGCTCAGAATGATTCATCTCCAGTAGCAGGCAACGTCAGGCAAAGCTAGCAGCTTAAAAGGAGATGATGAAATACTGCACACGCATAAAATGTGCCTGTTTCCACCACTGAAAAATACTTTTTTTGCTAGCTATAAGTCAAGATTTCGAGCTATGAAGTGAGACGTTTTGAGATAAAAACCCAAATCTTTGACTTATCGATGGCAACAAATGTTTGTTTTTTCCAGTGGCAGAAGCTTAGAAAGTATCCACATAACATGAACACAGTTTGCACAATGTATTTTTGTTATTTGCTTGGATCCACACTTTAGTGCATTTACAGCTGAGAGACTCACTTGTATTTTCCGAGCCAGGAGTCAGCAATGAAAGCTCCCAGTATGGGTGTGAAGTAGCAGAGGCCGCTGAAAGCATGGTAGACAGCAGTGGAGAGGTCCTTGTCCCATTTCAGGTAGGTGAGGAAATAGAGTGTCAGCAATGCTGTGATCACACACACACACACGAGCAAGCATAAGCTGTGAATCAGCTCACAGGATGGAGAAGCCCAAGCCCACACCTAAACACCACAATACATCGTAATTAAGCCTTCAACATGAACTGTCATATTCTAAAAGTATTATTGCACTCAGAATCCTTTCAGCGAATCCTCCGCAGTTCATGAATTCAACAATACCACATGATTATATTCCGTTATAAGATATTTTTTTTTAAGCTGGTTAAACCATCACATTAAATAATGTAATCGGTGACACCCACTGTGCTTACATTTAAGCTTAGAAGATCCACAAGTAAACATTCTGGGTTTGAGTTTGTCATTCAGGTAAGCTAAGGCATTTTAACCTAAAACCAAAAAGCTGTGGGACATTTTCTTAATAAATAAGCCATAACAGACACGAGAGTCGCTTGGGAAAGTTCAAGATGAACCTTGTGTGCTGCAAAACTCACACTGTTAACTAAGCAACATCTTCATTCAAAACAGACGTCCTAGCTTTTCCCGAGCACTCAACTACATCTCTTGATCTCCGTCAGCAGATGGCATTTCCTGGCAGACTGCAGTTGTGTTAGCTTGTAGCTCTTAAATTACCGTAGAGGCCACCAGAATAAATCCAAAACAACTTGGTTATTCTGATGGTTACAGAATATCAGTAATCCATTATTTTCAAACCACTTACCTCTCTGATGCGATCTCTCTTCTTTTATTCATTAGTAAAATTAATACCGTTGGTATTTTTACTAATGACTGAAATAAATTAGATATTTGGGGTCTATTTTTTTTAATATTCTCTCACATTTTAGAAACAGTATAATTAAATAAAACCCCCGAGTCTTAAATTCACTTGGATTGAGGAGAAATTTCAGTAGCTGAAACTGTGGACACAGTGCATCAGCTTAAACCTGCAGGAAATTGCGTGGTGTATTTACATGTGTGTTTGTGTGTGATCCGGCTGAAGTAAATCTGTCACTTGTGGAGATAAGTGAGGTTGTGTGAGGGAACAAGAGAGATCTTATTTGTTGCCTCTCTATTATATTGCCCCAATAATACTCATAATCTGTAATGTAGCAAGCTAAAAGTACTCTGTGAATCTAGAAAACCTTGCTTTTATTTAGGCTTTATATAGATTTGCACTGTAACATTGCCCAGGCATTTATTTGCATACCTTTCATGCCATAGTAGGAGAAGCGTTCGCAGAATTCATTCACCACTATGAAGCAGATGCTGACTGGGTAATTGGTCCCAAAAATTTTCTAAAAGAAGCAAAATGTATTAACAGAACAAAGTTCAACACTTTTTAAAGAGTACACATTTTCTCCAAACAATCACACTGAAGTAAAGCACATCCAGAATCCACTATCTAATCTTTTTCCCCCACCTTCGTCAAATATAAACAATAACTGGCAGGTTCAGTGAATAGTTTTATTCTCTGACAGAGAATACTCTGACATGAAAAGAGAGGAATGTAGCTGATAGATTCTTCCTGTTAGTCAATCTCACAAGATACCGAAGTTAATCATTACGCAGAAATAGAAGTTTTATAGGTTTAAAGCTTTAATGAGACCAGGCTCAGTTAAAATGAAGAAAAATATCCATCGCTTGAGTTCTGAGTGGATTTTTGTGGAGTGGATGTTTAGTATTCAACTAAACACCGTGTGGGATGTTTTGATTAACAATGATCTGCAACTTTACGCTGCTGCTTTAGTGCATTTTGACAATTTAGGCCATCTGTCAGGTCGTATCATTCACATCAGCTGTAGCCCTGGTATGTAAAGGTATATGATTCATGTACTTACAGCTCTATACAAACTGTCTACAAGCAGTAAAACACTTTGCACAACCGGCTGCTAAAAATGGAGGCTTCTGTAGAATTTTACTGGTAATGATGTGCTCACTGATCTGGAGCTGGATGTAATTAATATGAGGTCAGTGCTTTAATCATCATCAACATCATCATCATCATAGGTCCATGGCCTCATTCAGTGAGCTTTAGGCAGTCAGTGAGTCACAGTCACTCCAGTGTATACAAGCAGATAAACACTGACTAGGAGTAGTTAGACTTGTGCCTCCCTACTTGGTAATGTTTCTTTTTTTTATTGCCAAGACTTAATTTAAGGGTTTGTTTACCAAATGTACAGCGAACACATTTACTCCCATCCCCATGTCAGTTTTGGTGTCATTTAATTTCAATTAATCAAGGCATGAAAACATGTCCATTCAATTTGCCTCTGATATATAATTTTACCTCGCTGTATCAACAGTTTTCTACAACTGAGGAAAATCAAAGCGTGGTAGATATTGTCCATTTTCTGCATGATACCCCTGGAGATTAAACAAATCTGTACAGTAAGCATATTAAAAATGATCCTTTATTGGATTTGCTACCTCCAAAAACATAATCGCTCAGGCCACATGTGGCACCAGCTTTCTCCAAGCAGCAATTAGTGTGGGTTTACTTTTAGAGGGGAGGGGGTGCCTGTTGCATCATCTTACCAATAATAATTTAGCATAGAGCTTCAGTGAGAGCTTGGTCTCAAAGCAGACTTCCCTCTGTCTCCTTAGCCCACTTCTGCATGCTTCGCATACACGTCAACAACACATCTTTGCGTGTTTTATTTCCACAGACGTGGAATTTGCACGCGTTCCAACCCGCGTACAACTTTTCTTGTTTTTCTTTTTTTGTTTTCTTTTCTTTTACTACGCATCTTTGCGTGGTAAAAATCAGAGATGCACAACAAAACTAACTGAGCAACTCAGCGCATGATCCGCAAAACATCACAAAACAGCACGTTTACCTTTCCCATGTTGTCGTTTTAGATGAGAGAGTTTGGGATCTTTACGGCAGCACTGTCATCCAAGTCCGTCCCACTCCGTTCCGCTCTCTGAAGGCACAGATGCAAAAACCTCGGACACTTACACTCTTAAAGCACACTCAAAGTTAATATTCCACCACAGAACACTGGACTTGTCACCTCAGGAAAAGCAGCGAGCCTCCGTACTTCGGTATTTTGTGAAATATTAAAAAGGAGGTAGCAGATGAGTGTTTATATATGCGTATATTTACAACGCCTTTCACTCCCTTTTTTGGGGGGGAGGGGAGGAGGTCCGCAAGTTGCAGTGAAGCGGGATCTACTGGTACAATAGAGTCGTTGTTGCACTCAGCCGCAGACCTGACTGTGGGATGGATGTGCGGGTCAAAGCGCATATCTCTGGTTGGATGACTTCGAGTGTATCATTTATTTCTTTTTTATTCACCCTGAGTAATATCAGCGGTGGTGGTGGACGTGTGTCCCAAGTACACGTGTTAGTTAGTTGCTGTTTGAGGGATGGGTTTTAGGGTTAGGCTTAGACATTCAATCATAGTAAAGGTAAACCTATAAGTCTAGAGAATGCATGATGTCAAAGGAATTGCAGTTGTTGTTTCATCCACGATCATGTCCCCACAAAGTGTCTGGGCATTCCTCGCTGCACTGTACAGCGTACACCACATTGTTAAGTCTGTGTTTTGGCGTTTTGTCTTTCGGGTGAACCAGTTTTTGTCTGAGCGTGTTGCTGGGTCTGAAATGCACCGGGATGTCATGCTTGGAGAAAACTCTCCTGAGTTTTTCTGATACACCGGCTACATAGGGGATGACGATGTTGTTGCGTCTGTCTTTCTTATCCTCCCTCGCTGGTGTCTGATCTTCTTTTCTGTGCCTCTTTGCTGACTTTAAGAACGCCCAATTAGGGCCTCTACATTGGAGAGACCAAACAGCCACTTCACAAGCGCATGGCACAACACAGAAGAGCCACCTCCACAGGACAAGACTCAGCAGTCCATCTGCATCTTAAGGATAAAGGACACTCTTTCGAGGATGCCAGTGTTCACATTTTGGACAGAGAGGACAGATGGTTTGAAAGAGGAGTGAAAGAAGCATCTATGTCCACTGTGAGCGACCATCTTTGAACAGAGGCGGGGGTTTACGACACCAACTCTCTGCCATCTATAATCCAGTTTTAAGATTCCTTCCCAGACGCCTTAACGCCCACTCACATCCTGGGCCATCTGACCTCAGGAATTCGCATGATAAGGTGGGGCCAGGTTTCACAATGAACTCACCCGAAACTCTGGCTGATTGGGACCCACACCCAGTTTCACACCTTGGCTCAGGCGATTAGAGGATCATCAGGGGGTCCTTTTGTCCCTCTGTGGGGGGAAACTCCCACTAGGTTTATATCTGGGACTCTCCACCATTTGACCTTAGAACTGAAGAAGCTTCTCGGATGAGAGGTGAAACGTCTTCAAGTAACTTAAAGAAGTCCAGACGCTTTTCTTTGCAAGCTCCTTTGACTACGATGACCTGGATGACTGAGAACCTTCACAGACATTTTACACATATATACTTTTACACTGTCACACTGTGGGGACCTGTATCCCATTTGGGAGCAAAAAGGATGTCCACATAGTGTAAAACATTAGATGTTAGTGAACTTTGTATAGTGGTGTATTTTTGTATTTGTATATTTGTATAATATATTAATGTGGGCTACGTTAGTTATGTCTTCTGAAGTGACACAAATGCTGCTGCTCCTGTGAGCACATGTGTGGTTTTAACGTGGTCTAATGGTCACCACCACTATACGCAGATTTTTTTCCAATCTTCACAATTGTTTAAGTCTGCTAAATTTAAACATGAGCAAGACAGCACAAGATTAAAAAGTGGTTTAAAGACGCCACAGTTGGAGTTCACTTTATCCATTTTCATTAAAAGATTGTTAAAAAAACAAAAACAAATTAATACTTAAAAAATGTGCTTGGACTTTTAGAAAACACACATGATTTTAAAACTCACAGATACAGAAATAACTTAAAATCTTTGCAGTGCCATTGTTTGAAATTACTGAAAGTGCGTTACATACAAAGCCAATTTCGATTGCTTTCAAGTAGGATATGCTTTACTCATTCCAAAAGTTTTTTTCTTCTTTTTTTTAAAAATTATTATTTTTACATTACTTTGCCTGGATCCACCATTTATAACACTGGTCAAAAACTGCAAACAACAAAACAGACAAATTAGCCTGAAATCATAGGTGGGGCACAGATAACCAGGAGAAAAAACATAAAACATAAAGTTGACCAGAATTATTTTTCGGAGAGGGAGGAAATAAATGAATAAGAGCTTTATGATGCCATATATATATTATATACTTACTTTAAACAAATGTTTATTTGGATTTTCTATTAATATTTTCTATTAATATTCTTCTGGTTTGAGAACCACTGGTATAACATCCCATGCAACATGCCAAACCTTGAGAGATGAGACTTAAGGAAACAGTAGATGTCATCTCCGGCTGTTTGAACATCAGTCCAAAACCACCACTGGCCAACACTGTGCTGGCATTAATGACAACCAGTGTAGTAGCCAGAAGTTTAGAAGTATCTAGGGTAACAAGTTACCGGTGCCAAGATTTGGGCAAAAAAATAACTGTTGTAAAACAGTGTTTTTTCTAACTGAAATATCGTCTTAAAAAGAATGGTGTTGTTTCGTTGGGTTGCCAGAAGAAAGCCTTTTCTCTTTAAAAAGGACATGGCAACATGGCTTCTTTTTCCAAAGCTGAATCTGAACGAACCAAAAGATTTCTGATTTGTGCAAACAATGTCCTTTGCACAATTCAGACCAAAGTGGAGGAGTGTCCAATAACTGACACAGTGGTGCTTAGACAACAACCTTGTGCTTAACAGCAGCAACACCAAGGAGGTCATTGTGGATTGCAGGCGGTCCGGCAAGACAAAACACGGTCCTCTCCTCATACACGGAGAGGCAGTAGAGCGTGTGGACAACATCAAGTTTCTGGGTGTGATGTGCCCAGCAAAGGCTCTTCTTCCTCAGGAAGCTAAAACGGAACAAACTCTCTTCTCAGCTGCTGCTCATGAACTTCTACAGAGCCACAAAAGAAAGTATCATCTGTCTTAGTATGACCCTTGGCCTGGGTGATGAAAACACCACAAGGGATTATGGGAAATCCACTTCCACATCTGGACTCGGTGTACGCTAGACAGATCCCAAAAACAGGGCCAGACGTGCTTCCTTCAGGAAAGTTGTATAGGAACATGAAAACGTACCACCAGCCTGAGAGACAGCTTCATTCCCCAGAGCTGTGAAATCCAATTCTGTGACTTTTTGCACATATTATTTCTGCACACCTGCACACATGGATAGTGTGGTTTCACTTGTCTTATAGTGTATCTGCATATGTATGAACAGTATATTTATGTATGTAAAAGGGAGTTCTCCTTCTGTGCCAAAAGCTACCGAACAAAATTTTGTTACGCACATATTAACAATAAAAGGATTTGTCTTCTTCTTTTTCTTCTTCTTGGGCTTGCAGCCCACAGGATCTGAGCACCTTACAGGTGTTATGGCCCACAAAGCTCTCTGGGGAAAAGAGACTTTTTTCTAGTTGAACATACAGCATTAAACAGATTATAAAAGAATCCAAACAATCACAACCTTTTGACATGTAGGGATTTATTAATCACTTTGAGGGTCATGACTTGTAAGTGTAGGATTAACATTTTTCGAACAGCTAATAGAAGTGGTAATAACAATCACATGGCTGTTCAAACAAGTCACCAGAACACAGCTAAACATTTGCTTGCTCACTGGCCACCTGATCATTTTATTGTGACTATAAAAGCTATGTCTGGACAGTGACACATTAAAGAAGCTTAAAAAAAAATCTATTGTCTCTGCAAAGAAAGAAAATGAGTAAGGCGTGAATGAAAAATGTTTTCAAGGACAAAACAGACCACAAGAGGGCAGCATTGGTCTACGACAGTACATACTAGTAAACATTAAAACTTTCCAACAATCAGCAATAAAACCAAAATTTAAACTTAAAATGATAGATTTCCTGAAGAAAGTTTACTTTATGTTAAAATGCCTTTAAAAACCTGTGCAGTATAGATTTATTTTCAGACATGATCATTGATGGGATATCCACCTATTAATTTCCTTCCGTTTATGCAACTCTGGCTAACACAGAGAGACAGATAACCATGCACATTAACATTCAGAACTACCACACACACATACACAATGCAACACAGAAAAACCCCACCCTAAATACAAATATTTTATGTGCCTCAAATCTAACTGGGGACAGTAGTCCCAAATTAACTGGTGTGTGAGCTGATATAGGTCCCCAATTTCTACATAAATGAACTCACACCAAACCTCCACATCCACACACAAGTACTGCATGTGCATTCAAAGTCCTTCACTTGCATTGACAGACATGTTCCTTAATTAAAGCAAGATTACATACTGCTTGTGTGTGCGTGTATTTGTGAGTGTGTTGTCAAGTCTGAACATACACAAAAAGTAAAACACACCAAAGTAAAGTGATTTGTCTCCTTTCACCTCAGACAGCACTGCTATAAAGCTCCTTCTCTTTCACTTGATGTGTGGCTTTACGTTACTGCCATCTTGTGACCACTGGTAACATTGTCACTGAAAGATGTGCTTATTTCAGTCTCCTAGGAGACTACAGCTTTGTCAGTCCCTGAGGGTGTGTCCATCTCCTGTTACCAATGACTAAAGCTGGGCAAGCTGAGAGGCCAGAAACCTTTTTTCTTGTGGTTTGCACATGTGCATTGTGGACAAACCACTGGTCTGCCAGTAAACCGATGGCAGACTAGCATGACAGGCAAGCTGCCGCTAGCTCAGCTTTTACTGCTCTGAGATCAGTTATGGTCTGCATTACCAAGCAAACCAGCTTCAGTGATTTAGCATCATAACAGAGAAGTTCCCTCTTGCTAAACACCCTTGGTTAACATATGTGATGTAAAGAAGAGCATGAAAAAGTTTTTAATAACTTCTTTAGTACATTAACAAGGAAAGCTGTGACGATTTCTCTGAACATGTCCAGTCTAATAAAAACAGGCTAGTTGACCAGGTCAGCCAGCACTTTCAGATTAGCATCTATGAGAATGTCTAAATGTTTAACCAGCTGTTTTGCCAACACTCCACGTTCTTTTTTCATTCATATTTGAAATCACCCTGTAGATATTGACAGTTAACCATGTCACACATTGCTCAATCCTTTTAATTCT